ACAATCACTGTCATTGCAGTGTATAAGACACTCTTGATTAGCACATTTTAGTGCTAACCAAGACTAAATACTCCAAATGCCACACTTGTGCCGGTACATTCTGCTGATGAGCATAAATATGTAGCTTATCTTATAAAACTCAGATAGTCTATGATCAATACTTAATAAAAAGTACTTTCCCATTCAATCATATTTGAAGAATATTGAAGAACAATTAAACTCTACACATGTCTATGCTTTATTTTTGGCGAAAGTATTTGAGAGCTGTACTTTGGGTAAGGCAAATCAAGTAAATCACACACTAACTAGCTTTTACATAAAATGGCTTGTACCAAACTCTTAGCATATATAAGTGAGAGAACTTCTCTTGATGGCCTTCTCTGGTAACTAAGTCTCTGTTTCATAAACAGGAATATGTCTGTGTGCTTCAAATGAGGTCCCCCTCTATTTGAGTTTGTTTATATTTGTTTAGAGCTGTCTGACAAGGCCTCCTACCCCAGAAGTTTAAATATGGCAACAGTCAGAAGTTTGATCAAGTTAAGAATGTAGAGTGCAACATTTAAAATAATTAAAAATAAAAATCTAATGACTATAGCTCCCTTCTCCAGACTTCAGTGTTTCTACATCTAAGATTCAAAGACTAATCATCAAAACAAATAATAGTTTTTCAATTAAGGTCAATGCTTTATCCTCAAAGAATTACTGGACCTATTCCACAGTAAGAAAGAATAACTGCAGTTCTCTGAATACACACCTGGTAATCTGCATACAAAATCCCCTTTACACTTACGTACAATACTTCTCTAGGATCTTACAAACAGGATCTATTGCTGCTACTGAGGTTATTTCACCAGGAATTTGAGAAGTAAGTAACACTAATTTCAATAACAGATGATTTTATGGAATGGTCCTATTGTCGAATATGTCTCCCTTTGCAGCAAATATAATGATTATTTCTCACTCAAGAAGATCCAGCAAGTGGGAGAGGAAAAGGCCGAACTATGTACATGATAATTAATGGAGATTTCTGTAGCAGTACAATTTAAAAAGTACTATGAAGTATATATATTTTAAATCAGTTGAAGAGTTGTCACTTTAATTTTGAGTGAAAACATTACACAAAATATAACTAATCATTCCAAACATGATTTGAGCTGGAGCTAGTAAGGTCAGGAAGGATCACATTAACTTTTTTTTACCCATGCCTCTAAAATTCAGACATTTTGAACATAAACATTGAGAATAAGAACACATTTCTGAAAAATTAGCAATGCCCCACCCAACACATGAACAATTCTTTTCTAGGAGCAATGCTGGCAAGTGACAACTAAGAGCCTCAGCGATCTCTCAGTTAAGAATCACTATTGCTGCTACAGCTATTAAATATATTATTATTATTATGATGAAGCTAAAAGCATGATCTTCATCAATAGAATTTTGGTATATGAAACTGATCCCTTAAGTCCAATGGAAAGTACAACTGTCAATTTATGCAAAGGACAGGATTCACCCCTGAAGAAAATGGCATCATTTATAAACTACAAAACATCAGCAAAAAACAACCTACAACCAACCAAACAAAAAACAAACCAAGCACCCCTTAGCAGCCTTCAGAAGACACTGTAATGCCACTGTTGACATACAGTCAATATCAGGCTTGTTCACCCCAAAGAGTACATATATTTTCTTCTACATAAGAGTCAAAAGCTCAGAATAGGTAAAGATTTAATCCAAGCCTTACTTTGCCTCCTCTCCCTCAATAGATATTTATAAGGTATTTGTCATTTAAGTGTCTTCCCTTCCCCTAATACTGTTCCAAAACTAGCAGTGGGTTTGTGGCTGCTTGAGATTGTATTTGCGGTGGGGGGAGCATGGGCACAAAGCTTATTTAGTTACTCAAGCTGAGCAGTTTTAATTTGTTTTAATAGTTGTGCGCAATAAAACCATTACTATAACTGCAGGATGGCATTATCAAAGCCAGCAGACATCTTTATCTTTTTTAAAATTGACTTTATTTCTGGTATGTAGAGAGAGGAACACACACACAAACATACACCTACACTATTTTCAGACCTTTTGAGGTGCTCATATCCTCTACTTACAGACTGAAGATGGGTTTCATTTATATTTTCATACTTAAAATATTTTAAAAATAAAATATGGGGTTACAGGAGCAACGACACAAAGGCCCTGTTTCTGCGAAAAATTAAGCATGTGCATAACTTTACACATGTGAGTAATCATAATGGGATTAAGTCTTTGTAGAATTGGGGCAATTACATCTACAAATAACTACAAACATTCCAAAGTTGCTCTAAAAGGACAGATGAGGATTCTTCCTATCCTATTGTTAAGCCAATCCCTCCTGACTCATTCCTAGTGTAAAGTGCGTGTCAGAATCAGCTATGTGTGCGAGAGGATATTCTAGAGGTGGAAGGGGGCAGACATGGAGCATGATCTGCTCAGCTGATCCCTGGTTGGCAGAATGGCCCCTATCATGAGACAGTTCTAGCTGGTGTAGGTTAGAGTGACCGACTGCCTTGGCTGTTCCAACTTCCGGGTAGGTTGGTTTGGCCCCCTACTATCCCCAGAATCAGGGGGATGTAAAGGTGCTCAGTGTAGTTACCTGACAGTCTTTATTAACCTATCTCTTCACAAAACAATATACATTTTATATCCTTCCACAGAAGCTTGTAAGTATTTGCTTATTAAATGTATATTGTCTGGCTTTTTGTTTTAAAACGCAAAGAGGATGTGAGTTATCATTAGCTTTGAATTTCCTAGCTTGTTTTAGTTAGTTTAATTACCTGAGTGCTATTTAAACTTAGCTTTTTGTAGTCAATAATAATACCATGGAGGAAAAAAATATGAAACTTCTTTTCACTCATTCTTCTTCCTGTAATAATGCTCTATCAGAGCATTAGGTCAGCTATGCTGCAGCACAACAGAGCTAAAAATAGTGCATCCATATAATACGGCTAATACAGAGAATGGGCAGCTGCCACTAGATGGCATGACATCCTTATATTATTTTGCTTTCTTTTTTGCTTCTTTTTCTGTAATATAAAAGCAGTATGTAAAATTTGTCATTCAAACTTGCTGTCAACACATTTTGACACTTCAGAGATGACCAAGGTCAGCCAATCATCCAGATATTGACAAACATGGATTTTTTTCCTTCTCAGGTGTGAGGCTAATACTGTGAAGCTCTTTGTGAAGACAACAGGAGTTGTTGTTTTGTTTTATTTTTGCTTGTAACTTTTGATCTATGGGCTAAGTGCTTTTTTAAAATTAACATAATTTCTGCCAACTCCTGGGCATTTTGTAATGATACCTGCAAACAGATATCTGCAAAATCTCTTCCATCACTACACTGAACAATTTGGCTCAAATTCTGGGTTAGCAGGTGAAACACAAGGCTTATGACCAGGTTCAAGACTTCTGTAGCTCTTGTGGCTGTGAATCCTGCAATCAGAACTCCACCTCCCTCTATGACTGTGTGAAGAGGAACTCCATGTAGATGACCTACTATCACTCGGAGAGACAAGGTGGGTGAGGTAGTATCTTTTATTGGACCAACTTCTGTTGGTGAGAGAGAGAAGCTTCTTACACAGAGCTCTTCTTCAGATCTGGGGAACTAACTCAAAGTGTCACTGCTAATTACAAGGTTTGAAGATAGTTTAGTATAAGTAGTTAACACATATTTCAAGGGACCATTCAATGTGAAGTGTAAGCTTGAAAGCTTGTCTCTCACCAACAGAAGTTGGTCCAATAAAACATATTACCTCAACCACCTTCTCTCACTAATATCCTGGGACGCACATGGCTACCACAACACTGCATACTGCTATCACTCATGCATACAGAACAAAAGCACTGAGTAAAGATTTCTGATTGCCTACGAGAAAAATATCCACCAACTCCCTAATTTGGGAGGAGAGTGAAGATATACCTTTCAGACACACCTAGTACTCCCGTCTCATGCCTTCAGTGAGAAAGGAAAATGAAGATCCTCCTCCATATTCTCCTGGTTTTCGCCCCTGTCTTTCACAGGAGAGAACCTCCCCATCCTCACCTGCTCCCCACATTCCAGTCCTGGACACCCGGTTTACTCATTTTTCAGCAGGAGACCACATATGTGAACCAAAAATTCCTCTCAAGCCTTGGATAAGTGTAGAAAGTCTGTCTCTCCACTGTGGCCCAAATTAGGGAGTTACTCCAGCTCTATAGCTGCATTTACTCCTATGGGCTGCTTGGCAATAGCAGGCACAGTGGGAAGAAAAATAACTGGATCCTGGTAGAAAGGAGGCAGACAGATCATTTATATGAGCTCTCCATTCCTGGACTGAAATTGTTAGTTTGGCCTTGCATATCACAGGTAAGCATACTGCACTGCTAGTGTCCAAAGCACCAAAGGTATAATTTCACCGAGATCAAACCTTAAAGGAAGGCAGAGTATGCATTGATTCCTTTGCTTGTTGTTATGCACTAGGGGCAAGAATTTCAAAGGTATTTAAATGTATAAACATGCAGATTGGTACTTGGTGAGATTTTCAAATGCACCTAGGTGCCTAACTCCCATTGACATCAGGCCCCTGAATACTTTTGAAAATCGGACCCTCTGGCTCCACTTTGCATATAGCTAGACATGAACAACAACTCAATTCTTACACCAAAATATCAATATAATTCTAACATTTCCTCATAAGAGGTTATTATAAAATATATTAAATAATTTTAAGCTTTAACCATAAAATAGCACAAATTCTTATCTTTGAAATTGTGAAGGAGTGATACTATATTCAATGGATTTCTTATTATTAGTCAAAGAGGTCACTTGCTTGCCTCCTATATATTTTTCTTAAAAATAACTATCTTTTAAATATTGTACACATGATGCGTAATATAATTTAGAATAGGCCCTTTTTACACAGCTTCAAATAATGCACTGAAGCTTTTCTACATCCTAAAATGTCTGTAATCATAATTTTTCTGAATACCTGAAAAAAACCCGGTGGTACAGGACCTACTGGCATGCCATCTCCTGGGGGAATGTTTCCTAGCACTGGACTGGGAGCTGCTGCAGCACTCTGAAAAGAACAAAGGAAAAATAAACCTTTGTCATTGCATGGTAGGCATAAAACCAAAAACTACTGTGACCAAAATGCAGTACGGCAGAAAGTAAACTCTCTGGATATGATATAATTTTCATTGTTTACTCTAAAGGTAAGCTGTAATTCAATAACAGTCTCATTTTATACACATGAAATGGTTAATTTTAGTTCATAAATATACGTTATTTGAGGAGCGGACTGACAGACACATTCATCCATTAAATGTATCATGACTATGTATATATTTAATGTTTGTATTATATATATTTATAAATGTATGTGTGTTTCTCTCTCACACACACGTATAAATATATGTGGTATAAAAAAGTTAACGTATACAATCTATTTGAAATTTTCAACCACTTTTAACTTCAGCAGACTTAATATTCTTTTAAAATCATACCAAGCTTCAAAACAATGGATGCTCATGATTCTACCAGTCCCACAAATAACCACTATGATTAATGAGAATAATTCTGGTTAAATTTTTTGAAAGGAAAAACAAAAAGAGGAAGGGGAAAAAAGTATTTCTAAGAAATGAATCAGAGGATGAAATTAACTAACTTTGCAAATCCTACAAATGGAATAAGCAAGTAAGGAATGTAGCTCCCAGCAATTTACAAGCAGGAGATCATCACAAAAATGGAACCAAACTGTTATTGTTGTCATGTATTAGAACTTCAATTGCTTTTAATTTCTAGCAGCTTTCTTTCCTGCAGTACATTCTGTTAGGGTATGGGGCTGAATCACCTTCAAAGACTTTCAGTCTTTTGTGAAAAGAACAGGAGTACTTGTGGCACCTTAGAGACTAACAAATGTATTAGAGCATAAGCTTTCGTGGACTACAGCCCACTTCTTCAGATGCATATGCATCTAATACATTTGTTAGTCTCTAAGGTGCCACAAGTACTCCTGTTCTTTTTGCGGATACAGACTAACACGGCTGCTACTCTGAAACCAGTCTTTTGTGAAAACACTCTTAGGAGCACAGAAAGTGTGAAGAGCCATTTTCAGGTCCTAATGATTTGCCAATATCTGCCCGGTGGAATACAAATTGTATTGATAATTATTAATTTAACTGGCCAAGGAGGTCATTTTTACATTTAATAACCAAATTAAGTATATATGTTCATTATATTTTCAGGTCTATTTAAGGAAATGTATAGTGTAATGCTGGGAACATTAGAAAACTGAATTTGATTGGTATGGCATGCAGATATGCTGACGTTTTTAGACTGAACAAAAAATAAATATTCAGTTAGTTACATCAGATTTTGCAATGGTTCAAACCACTCTTTAGAATAAGTTCCTCAAGTATGATAACCAGTACTATATTTTGTAACTAAACTGTATGTTACTTTCCAACAAGGGACCAAAGAGGCTAGTAAAGTCTGCACACACAGAAGCAAGTCCAAGCTATAAGAAATACAGTACAGTCAGAATGGCTACAAGACTTTGATCTTGATTGCACTGTTGACATTTGTTGCCCAGTGAATTATTTTAGTAAGTTCACAGATCCTGATTCTGGACTCTGTAATAGGTTCAGTTAGGCTGGTGTTATAATACTTTACTCTTGCGATTGACTACAAGAGTCAGTCATATGTACCTGAGCTAGCAAAGGGATTTGGGTCACAAAACATTTTCATGCAGGATTGCCAAAAAGTAATGGAGCTGTGATCGGGTGATATTGTATCAGACTGCAGTGGATAAACAGGGGTTACTTACTAGTAACGTCTTTGGGGATTGCTCTGTGCATTAATGGGATTTGGTACCTCTAGCCTTAAGCTGTAGAATTGTATAGAAAACATACATCCATTGGGAGGAGGGGGGTGATTCGATGTCCTCATCAGCCCTGTCTATGTAACACAGCATACCCCCCCAGCCCACCTCTGTTCCTTTTCCCAAGCCCACAAAGTCCTGAAATACAAAGAACTCCCAAAGCAGAGGGAAAGGTGGTTGTACAGTGTGAATACACAGAGACAACCCTTGAAGAACAACAGTTATTAGTAAATAACACTTTCTTCTTTTTTGAGGGCCTCTGTGCATTCCTACTCGCAGGAGATTAAGAAGCTGGGTCCCCCATTAGAGGAATAGTTCTAGGCAAAATGATTTGTATCATATGATGCTTAGTGTGCCTTGCCACAGTAAGCATATTGAAATTCTACGTCCAATAAATAGTATTCAGTGAAAATATGAACAGAACTCCACTTTGCTGCTTTGAAAATCTCTACAATTGGGATCAGTCTCAAACAAACTACAGAAGCAGCAGTAGCCCTAGTGGTGTATGTGTATCCTTAACCCTAGAAGTACTGGTTTTCTGACTAAAGAATAACAATATGCTTCCTAATCCAGTGTGAAAGAGTGTTCACTAATAGGCAGTCCGTTACACTTTTTCCAGTAGGCAAGAAATAATCTGTTAGTTTTCTAAAGGATTTAGTCTTGTTCAGGTAATAATACAGGGGCCTTTTCACATCTGACGAGCATAAATAGGACTCTCCTGGATGGACATTAGGTCTGAGGAAGAAAACAGGAAGGGTAGCAGATGAAAATCTCAGACCATTTTAGGCATTATGCTGGGTTTCGTTGTGCATTATTATACGGGCTGGAGAGATACTGAAAGCACTGACTTTGCTGACCCTCTTAACAGAAGTAATGTCTTTTTGATAGCCAGGTGTTCTAAGGAAGTTTGATACATTGGCTGATAGGATAGGTCCATCAACATCGTTAAAACCATCCTGGGAAGGGGCTTCTAGTAGTAGAAAAGTCATTAGTCATTCCCTTAAGAAACTTGGAGACTGTGGGGGAAGCCAATAGAGCCTTGACTTTAATCAATATATATATATGATACACAGATAAACTTGGTAGAGTCACCTTTAGGAAGTTACCACTAAACCTGTGATTTCAAATGCTAAAGATGCTCTAAAATCGCAGGGACTTTTGCCCATGATGGGTTTATTCTTTATCCTTTCCCCAACACAAAAACTTTGTCCATTTCAAATCTGTACCACTTCAAGGTAGAGTTCTGTCTAAACTGTAACAGTCCTGCTTGAACTCTGTGAAAACACAGAAAGCCCATGGCAGTCAACAGACTCTTTTCCTCCATGCAGCTAGGTGAAGCATCTCTGGGTTTGGATGAAGAATTCCCCCCTTATTGTTGAAAAAGGAGGTCCAGGCACAGAGGAAGATGAATTGGTTGTTCTCTGATCAGCTGGAGAAGCCATCTATCAATATTACAAAGGCCACATTGGTGTTATAAGTATGATGTTTGCTTTGTCCTCTGATTTTTCTTATACTCTGGGCATCAAGGGAATGGGAGGGATGACATGTTGATTGCTGTAGAAGTGAGGGATCCATAGAGTTAGAGAGGTTTAAGAGAAGTGAATTTTTCATTGCTTTGCTGGATGTGGGCACATGGAGAGAGGGGGTAGATAAGTCTGTTAGTGTGCATATTGGTTCAGGTAGCTTGTGTAGCTTCTTGTCTGAGGCCTTGGCTACACTTACCCGGTAGTTCGGCGGCGAGCGATCGAACTTCTGGGTTCGACTTATCGCGTCTAGTCTGGACGCGATAAGTCGAACCCGGAAGTGCTCGCCGTCGACTGCGGTACTCCATCTCGGCGAGAGGAGTACCGTGGAGTCGACGGGGGAGCCTGCCTGCCGAGTGTGGACCAAGGTAAGTTCGAACTAAGGTACTTCGAACTTCAGCTACGTTATTCACGTAGCTGAAGTTGCGTACCTTAGTTCGAATTAGGGGGGTAGTGTAGACCTGGCCTGAGTATCCTACTGCAGCTGCAATCCTATCATATGCTGAGAATGGGGTGGTGGGAAAAAGGGAATTCCTTTGGTGGTGGTGGTAAGGGGAGGAAAGGAAAAGATATATACTCTTGTGTGACATTCTGTACCAAGAGTAAGGCAAGGTTAAGATATTGGTCTCAGTTCTGTGGCTGCGGAGTGCATGTTGTTGGCTGGGGAAACCAGCTCTTTATTTCATGCTGTTTAAAGCACATTTAATTAATTTAATTAACTCATTTAATTAAGTTAATTAACTTTATTAAAGTCATCCATGATTTGATTATGGACCATAACGTTTCTGGGTGCAGTTCAGTGTGTTGGTTTTAACTTACAAAGCCCGAAATGATTTGGGATCTGGTTACCCAAGGGACTGCGTCTCTCCCTATGTGACACTGCCTCAGTTTAAAAGAAGGGGTCTTGACTTTGGAACTCACCCACCAGGTCTGCCAGAGCTCCATTTGTTATGCTTACAGGCATACACTACAAAGCTCATCTTTTTTTTTATGTTTTTGGGGTGAGAAGGGGTTAATAGGCCAGGAGATAAAGCAACTGTAAAGTCTGGGTTATCATGGTGGCTACTTTGGCCATTATTTGCTTATGGTGTTCATTAAGTGTTCATCCAGTGTATGACTTGAAATCGTAAGAATATTGTTTAAATTATTGTGAGGGACCTAAAGCCACTGTTAGGCCCTGAAAAAATCTAAATAAATACAGTGAAAACTGCATAATGTACATGACAGAAGGTGTAATTTAAAGAAGATAGCAATGAAGTCACAACAATGGAATAAAACAGATTTTCATTGTCTTTGGCATAATGTTTTTCAGTCTAAGAATGTATGAAGAAATATATCCTTAAAACTTACAACAAGCAAATCAATAAACAACCACAAAATGGGTTGCATGAAAATATTCTGATTTAACCTATTTCTGATGAATTATTCAGAAATCCTTTTCACAGTTCCACTGCAAACCATAGCTTCTTTTTACATGCAATACAAGTGGTACATCATTCATATTTCCATTTGTTTGACATTTTAAATATTTGCAATTTGCTTTCCCTGCTTTTCATAAGAAGATGAAATGGGAGAATTTAAATTATTTAATCTCTTCATACAAGAGTATTTCTTTTTAAAAACAGAAAACTTAGGTTTGGTTTTATTTCAAGTTACTGAGTTTACGGTGTCTCT